CCAGCTAGAACTATTATAACAAGCTGATTTTACAATGAAGTATTTCTTATTTTCTTAATTTAGTTCATGTTTCAGAATTCCAGTAAATTAAAAAAAAAAACCCACTGAACTTGGGTAAATTTTAACTTGACTTCTTCATTTGCTGCCACATGTGCCGCGACCATGCCACAACCAAGCAATCACGAAACTACAACCCCCCCAGCGCTTTCATCCCAACCACCAATCATAAATCGAAACAAGTATTGCCTAGCTATCTCAATACAAGGCCAACAAATGCAAAGCTACAGCCCTTTCACGTCACATGACATGCATATTTATGAAGTTCACATGGGTGCTACTTTGTCCGTTGCATGCAGCCAGTGCATGCATGTTGCTAGCGCTAGTGCAGACCTGACTTCCTTTCATGTCGGTATGATCTTTGCCATTCAGTTTGGTCCTAATATTGTCACAATCAGAGCAATTTTTTTAGGTAGGTTTTCCAGCTCAAAGGTCGAAAACTGATGGGAAAAATCCCCACCTTACATTGAATTTATATTCACACGATTTGAACACACTGAGCTCAAGTACGGCAACTCTGTGTGTATGCTAAAATCCCCGCTTGTGTTGACTAAAATTTGGCTAGCAGACCGGCGAGGTCAAACCCCCGTTTATATTTTGTGGATTTCTTACAAAATAGTTTTCTCTAATTTAAGAAATGTTTTGCATAAAAGATGCTAGTTATAATTGTCTCGGTTGAAACATTGATTTCAAACTCACATTTTTTCTGTGCCTGATTCAGAAGTTTTGGGAGCAATTCAGACATAAACCAAAAGTGTTGCCTGCATGGCACTTTCATCGATCCTGTATGGACAAACAAATTGCTTTATCTTTTAAAAGGATTTTGTGATGCCTGCTAGATGCAAGGTAAACTACTGACAACATTCCCGTGGAATTTGAAGATAACTTGAGGTGCAGTCAAAGTGAATACTTTTCGTCGTGGGGAACTAGAAAAATGACTGTCCCGGTCAACAAAGGCCTGGCTGATCAGGGGTTTGCGTGTAGCTTGTGCGTATTTATAGTCGGCAGATTGGATTGCAGTGTCGGCGTTCTCTGTTATGCAGCGGTCAGCGTGTTTCATGTTTGCAGTTAACTCCTTTCGTGTCTGTTCGACTCGATGCACGCTGACACGTTAAGCGTGTTGGCTAAAATTCTGACCTGTAGTGTATTGGCTNACCAACAAATGCAAAACTACAGCCCTTTCACGTCACACGACATGCATATTTATGAAGTTCACATGGGTGCTACTTTGTCCGTTGCATGCAGCCAGTGCATGCATGTTGCTAGCGCTAGTGCAGACCTGACTTCCTTTCATTTCGGTATGATCTTTGCCATTCAGTTTGGTCCTAATATTGTCACAATCAGAGCAATTTTTTTAGGTAGGTTTTCCAGCTCAAAGGTCGAAAACTGATGGGAAAAATCCCCACCTCACATTGAATTTATATTCACGTGATTTGAACACACTGAGCTCAAGTACCGCAACTCTGTGTGTATGCTAAAATCCGCGCTTGTGGGGGCTGTGTTGACTAAAATTTGGCTAGCAGACCGGCGAGGTCAAACCCTCGTTTATATTTTGTGGATTTCTTACAAAATAGTTTTCTCTAATTTAAGAAATGTTTTGCATAAAAGCTGCTAGTTATAATTGTCTTGGTTGAAAAATTGATTTCACATTCAAATATTTTCTGTGCCTGAGTCAGAAGTTTTGGGAGCAATTCAGACATAAACCAAAAGTGTTGCCTGCATGGCACTTTCATCGATCCTGTATGGACAAACAAAATGCTTTATCTTTGAAAAGGATTTTGTGATGCCTGCTAGATGCAAGGTAAACTACTGACAACATTCCCGTGGAATTTGAAGATTTTACTTGAGCTGCAGTCAAACTGAATACTTTTCGTCGTGGGAAACTAGAAAAATGTCCCGGTCAACAAAGGCCTGGCTAATCAGGGGTTTGCCTGTAGCGTGTGCATGTTTATACTCGCAGATTGGATTGCAGTGTCGGCGTTCTCTGTTATGCAGCAGTCAGCGTGTTTCGTGTTTGCGGTTAACTCCTTTCGTGTCTGTTTGACTCGATGCACGCTGACACGTTAAGCGTGTTTGCGTGTTGGCTAAAATTCTGACCTGTAGTTTATTGGCCATCTTGAATTGAAACCTGAGAATTAAAAAAAAAGCAGCGAAACAAAAGTTCATCGCTAACTCATGTCAAGTTAAATTCACAATAATTTGAAATTTGTGGTAAGCTGTATCTAAATGTTTTAAGGCACATATGAAATAGTTTGCACCACCCTATAACAGATTACATTAAATGTGATAGATTCAGGGAACAAGATCAAACATGGTTTCCCTATGCATCTGGTCTATTCTGTGAACCGTGACCTTATTAGTCCGTCACTCTGTGGTATACAAAAATCTTCCATACTTCTCATGTAATTGATCACATTGTCTTCTGTTGTACAAACTGTACACTTGTCCTTAAGAGCGTGTCGCAAAATGAATGGTAATTCTACAGCATGAAGTAGCCCCTCAGGTCATGTGAGATCTACTTCTCCCCGTAGACACTGCTTGATTGCTAATTGCTTTAGGGAGAAGAGATGTTATGAAGAAAGTGCTGATGAGATCAGTTTTTTTTGTTCCAACTGCTGGTATCGTGTTATTTCTGTTGTACTTTTAGCTGATGAGACCAACATCTGGAAGGCTGACATTGACGAAGAGGAGCTTCTCAAACAGCAGCAGGCAGCATCCGAGGAGGAAGGGGATGAAGAAGATGACAGGGAAGAAGAGCTGCATCGCTCAGAGACAAAGACCAAATCAGCCAGGTCCACCAGGTCCCTGGGTCAGGGGAGGACACCTTCCAAGCCTGCCTCCATCTTGAGCTCTGTCAGCGTGAGCATGGGTAAGTCAGTAGTCCTTTCAAATAGATTGGTCTGTTTGCCTTAACCCTAACCTTCTCCTAGATTACTTAATATCAACTGGGAGGTTTAGGAAGATGCTTGAAAGACTGAGGACACGAAAGCCAGACCACTGATACTAATCATGGGGCTTGACACAAGTAGGCACTGTTATGTGTCAAAGGTTTCAGGCATAGGAGAGAGATTTGGGAGAGTCAGGAAGGTTGCTGGCTAGAAAGCTAGGGGGTGTTGGGTACAGGGGAATCTTAAACCTCTTGCTGTGCATGGGGACTCTTTCTGTTTGCTAAGACATGAAATGTATCCTTTGAGGGGACACAGCTTGGCTGCAGATACATTCCCATGAAATACAGACAAGCTTTGCTGCTGGAGGACGTGTGTCGTTAATTTGAAAAAGGTAATTAATCCCTTTGAATTTTCAACTGCCCTAAGTTCTGAGGTCTTAAATACCTGGAGGATCATTTGAGGTTAGTTTACAACTACCTGTTGACATCACAAAGCCCCCACTTCAGGTGAAAATTTTAGTGAGAGCAGCATGTTGTTCATTTTGTTAAGATTTTAAGCCGAAAGAAACAAGCACACTTCAGCACCATACCTACAAACTTCCAGTTTTTCAACAAAATTCTGTTTCATTATCAACTCTTGATACTGTTGCTTGATTTTCAGAGGACCTGACAGGACCGATCATCTCTGGTGCCAGCAAACACCAGTCCAGCAGTGAGAAGAGCTACGGGGGTTCGTCCAGCGAGGCTGGTCGCAGCATCAAAGGCAGCCAGCTGCCTGGCAGCCTTAGGGAAAGTATGCGCTCCTACAAGGGTGGCAGGAACAGTAACATGGGCAGCGTGGTGCTGGGACCGGATGGCGAGATCCTGTCCATAGGGGGCGGTGTTGGCATGGGTAGCGTGGCTGACGCCGGGTCCTCGGTGGCGGATGCGACTGATAACTTGCAAGGTATAGCGGGGCTTGCCATTTGCATCTAACCCTCAGCTAAAAATCCAGATTTTTACCTACTGCATGAAGGCTCAGCAGCTTTTCTTGTTTAGGGCGTTGACTTATCTACCAGCCACAATTACAAGCCGTTACCAAGGAGGCACTCTCATTTTGTCTACTTTTCTCCAAAATTAAGGCATACATGTGTCAGCAACATCACTGAGGCTGTGTCAGAATATTAAGGCTACGGCTCAATGTAATACATGCCTTTGTGGAAATACTGACTAGCAGCTATAGCCACTTCCCATGTAAGCATGTATTGCTCCTTAGCCTCAGTTACTTGTACACAGCAAAAAGTCCTTTGCGTGGCAGCCTGTTTTTGATGTGAGTTTTTGTTTCACACTGATATGCACAAGTAGATCATTCTCACACTCATGGATACCAGCATGAAATACCGGTAACCCTAACCCTACCACATGCTTCAATATCTGGCTGTCCTTGAGGTTGAAGTGTCCTTGTCCAGAGTTAAGATTCAGATCGCTGCTGTATATGAACGGGTTCATGAATCAAGGCAGCATTGGTTGTGGACGCATGATCAGTGTGTTATACGCTTCAAGACAGACATCAAATTCTGGCTGCCAGATAAGTCTGCTCTCCGATGGACATGTGGGCATGGTATGCGCTAGTGTCATGAGGAGCACAGTTTAGTTACCCAGCATATAGTAGAGGCATTCGCTCTGAAAACCATACAGTGCAAGATAATATTTGAGAGTATTCCTTTCTGTCATTCAAATCAGAACTTGTCCTCCAGTTCCTAGCCTTTGCCATTGTGTGCTAGAACTTGTAAAACTATTGTACCTATATAGTTCATGTCAACAAGTTATGTGATGTAACTCATCAACCCTGTAAAGAGCCGAAGAGTGCTGAGTATGCAGAGGCCTTCATTATCAGAGATACACCCGTACTATGTTGTCAAATGGTATTCTCCGACTGGTTTTTAAAGGAGCCTTACATGAGACCGTTTGACAACGCATGCTGCATTTCATGTACAACTTTCCCCTGCCTTAGGCATTACTAGTGTCCTTTATACTAACTTTATCTGCTTTTAATTTGACCTTTTTTGGTTTTTTGAAGAATTTTCCGACAGTCTGCAACACCTTAGATTCTGACCTATATGCCTTGTATAGGTAGCTCAGGCTCATCTTTGGCCTTAATTAATATGCTGTTGACTAACAATGGCTGTAAGAACAGCATCCTTCATGTAGACATCCAGCCAGTCTAGCTCTTGCTTTATTTCTTGCATACATTTTTTCCGTTTGCAAATAATTCTTCTTTTCCACCTTAGATTGCTAATTAACCCCCTTGCAAACTTTCCTTTTTTTATGTTCTTACTTTCAAAATGGAAGCTTCCAGCATGGCCCACTCTACCCATATGGGGGAGTTGGAAAGTTTGGATGAGCTTGATGAACAAGAAGGTACCAGTATTACCATTGCATGCACTTGTGGCATTACCATTCAACATCATGTTACATTTAACTGCACAGTTTTTACATCCAATCATCCTTTTTTTTTGTCGTAGCCACTCCAGTTTGCTTGTGTGGAATTATTTGGGATCGATCCAAACAGGTCATTTTGCTGCACTGTTTCAATAGTTGAGACATTCAGTTTGTTGAATGTTTGTTGTGTCGTCACAAATAGTTGCCGCTTCGCAAACTTTCACAAATATTTAGTGGTATCAATAAGTACAGGGTCGGTCATTTGGATTACACCTCAAGCAAAATCAGAAGTGAAGATAATGTCATTATACAGGCAGTTGTGGTTTCAAGGTCTTGTTCACCATTTTCTGAAGGAATTAATTTTGCTGTAAGATTTGCCTGAATAAAGGCCTGTTCCTCATACTACAGCTGTATGTGAAAGCGAATCAAATTTGACGTCATAAAAGAGTTCTAGCAAAATTTAGCTCGAGTTAAAATATATTCATCTTTTGTGAATTTGTGTTGCAAATATTTGATCAAATGACTCACAAATTGACTTCTGTGTGTGTTTTTGCACCAAGTATGAACCGGCCTTTATAAACTGAGCTTATGAGGAAAGTGTGAGGGGTTCTGAAGGAAACACAGAATTAGGGGGAACAAAGAGATGTCACATGTTCCTTACACAAATGCTGGAGGTTACGACAAAGCCTCGGCCATACATGAATATAACTTTTATTTCTGGTAAAGAAATCAAGTATTCCTCAAAAGCGCCCCAGGCATTTTAGCTCACAAATCTTGAGGGATCTCTGAAGATATGCGGCTCAAATATATTAATTTCCACCTAAGGAATATCCATCAATGCTGCTTGTCAAGAGATAATTTTCACAGGCGTGTGCTCTCTGCTTGGATAATTTTTGACTTGTTCCATAAGTATTATTTGCTTTCCTTGCTTAGGATGTCCATTTCATTTTGTTTTATTTGGCAATAAATCCAAACAAAGGAGAGTCGCATTTCGTGTTCCAAATCCACTTGTGGTGTTCACTTTGTACATGATAAATATTGCATCATTTTGCTTTCCATTGTTTCAAACAGTGACATGTTTCATCTGCTAACCTTGATGTGCCCCTTGTTATGCTCTAGTGGAGGTTTCATAGTGCCTGTAACAAGATTGTGGTATGAAATTGAACTGGAGGTCTTAGTTCCACTCAGATCTCACGGTGAAATTTTGCCTTTGATTGCCTTATTTGTTTTTTTGACGGAAAGACTTTTTTGGTTGACAGTGGAATGATTGCCACGTTGGAGACTTTGTTTTTGCTACATCACTATCTGCAAAACCTTTTTCCCCCACCAGATGACACCTTGTCACAGGACTCAGGTCACATGTCATCAGAAGAGGTTGAAGGTCATGACCCTACCCCAGTTCCGCAGCCAGTCCCCATACCGACAGCGCAGTTTGGGGACGATCTTCCTGAGTCCAAGCCACCGAGCCTGCCCAGCTTACCACTGTCCAAGCCAACCAGGTCACAGAAGTCAGCAGAGGAATCTGTACATTTGGCAAGAGGTGAGAGACTAGACCACAATTGACAAAGTTTTCCTGTAAACATTGTCACTTTTGTGACAGATTCAAGAATCCCTCCTTTTAAGTTTTCCGCAGCAGACGGCCTTGCTCCTAGCTTGCTTGGATGTAATAGCAGATGTGTTTCTTGAGTTTGTAATGCCTTTTTCAATTGTGCTTATTATTTTCATGATTAAAACACCATGGCACAGGGTGCAGTTATGCATAAGAAAATGAGCTTTACAAAAGGCCTAGAATAGCATTGGATAACATGTTTTTATACAAGGAAGATTACCGTAGCATTCCAAAATAATTGAGGTTAAATGATTACAGTGTATCTGGTTGCTGATTTTATCATCAGTTGAATTTACAAAGTGCTGAAGGTAAAACCTCAGCTATGAAAAACAAGAAGTCAACCTAGATTAACAAACACCTCATCCATGCATGTTTTTTATGTTCTTTGAAGGGCACCTCTGAAAATCGTAAAAAAAACTCTCATCCTGTGCCCATATTTGATGTTTCATTGATCGTTGATTTCTTAAACTAGTTATTTAATGAATCAGTGCGTCTTCTGACCAGTTCTTTCACTAGCAAGCCCATCGTTGACACTGAGCGATAATCCTGATTTAGCTAGTTCTAGACAATCAATGGCTAAATCCGTCTCCTGCCCCACTAAGCCAAGGAACACACCAGCTTCACTGAAGCAAGGTAGATCTGCTTCATTCCACACACCCCACCATTGTGACACAGCTTGATAAACTGCACTCAGCACCACATTTACAGACGTTGATAGAAGTCTCAAACAATGACAGGTGTTTACAGATGTTGATAGAAGTCTCAAACAATGACAAGTGTTTATAGACGTTGATAGAAGTCTCAAACAACGACAGGTGTTTACATACTTCATCTGGAAACGGTCCAAAAAGTTTGGTAATTGCTTTTTTTATAAGCTGGAATTGTTTTGAAGTATGAGCACGCAGATTTTTTGGTGCTTGTTTTTTTTCACCTGAAATCACTTGCTGTGTATATGTTTCACTTCGATTGATACATGAAGCAAGGACTGTCTTGTCCCACTTCGCACTTTTTGACCATGTTGGACGAAAGCCACTGAAAATCATCTGGAGATTGGTATAGCTGAAGAGAGAAACTTCATGACACTTGAAGGAAAGGATTTTCCTTTTGAAACAAAATCATGAAGTTCATGATGGTTTGGGGAGTGAAAATGAATTCTGTAAAAAAATCAGAAAAACCCTGTCAGATGACCTTGTCTCACAGGTACTGTACAAGGTACATGCATCTTGGCAGAGTTATCTGCTTGTTCAGCATTTCTACATGAAGCTTGACGTAAGGTTTGACATGCCCAAAGCAGTCTACACTTGTAATGTGGAATGCCTCATAGTTTTCATATGACTTCAATTACACAGCATTCTTGTAGTTTTCACACAACCGATCCTGGGAATGACGTGCACATGACACAGTGGTGCACATGCCACCTGCACTGGATTGCACTCAATCTGCAGGCATGCAGTACACGGCATCTTCAGATTCTTACACCCAATATCTTTCTCCGTACAAGTTCATTTTAGCTAAACTTCCACAGGTTTGATACAGTTTCTAATTGTATACATGTACCAGGTATCATATGTATGTAAAATGTTGCGTATAGTCGTCAACATTCCCAATTGTATGTACATGTAATTTTGTATGTTTTTATTGAATGATGAGAGGACAAACTTAAAGAAAACATCTCATTGTCAACGTTTATAGTTTGGCAGACTTAACAGAATCAGTCCAAGGCTTAAATCACACTTTAAGATTAAGGCGTAAGTTAAAAGCCAATGATCAATCGCGACTGTATCAGCAGTATGTAAGATATTCTTTTTCTTGAGGGAATGTTCAATGTATTTTTTGGTGTTAACTTGTCTTCCATCTACTGGTATGTGTTTAAATGTCCATAAAGGGCTTAAACACAAAATGATATCCCCCCAAAAATCACTGGTTAGCTGATCAAACTTGATGTTACCACTTTGAAATATCCAGATTATGGAAGAGATCTCAGAAATCAAGCCATGAGATTTAGCCAGAGGATACAAGTTTGAACATCTCTTGACAACCTCGTGCAGAAAAGCCACTACAGTTGATAAATCTGGACAAAATTTGCGAAATGTTTGATATTGGTCTGGTTAACAGGTTGAATAAGTTTTTTGGGACTAGCAACTTCTGGCACTTTTTGTTTTTAGTTTTGGTTTTTATTTGTTTTTTAAAAAATAGATTTATATAATCTTTTCCTAATCTAAACAACAAATCAAGGTTCTTGACTCTGGTGATGAGTTTAACTAGCACATGGACTCAAAATGTTGGCAAGGCCAAAACTTTAGATCTCCATGTTTTGATATATTTTCCCCATCTTTTTTATATTTTTGTCTGAAAAATTTTAAAGAAATTGACATAACAGGAGGTGATCTCGATGCGACCAGATCTTTCGCCAATTTCAGTTACGGGAGTGTGGGGCAGGAATCGGTGGCGGAAGATGCCCTAAGCCAGGATGGCATTGGTAAACTAAGCCTGTTTGACGTCCACGTTTGTCGGTGCTTTTGGTGTTGTTTTTTGGGGGTGGTGATTTTATGGAGGTGCTGCGGGGTTGCTAGCAGTCACAGACAAATCGTCGCTCCTTCTGATTCATGTGCATTCATGCGTAAATTTCAAAAAGTGATATTTGTTTTCAGATTTGAGAGTCGAGGTGGTATTTTGGCTCATTTGGGTGAAGAAGCCTTAAGTTTGTTCATTTGGAAGAAGTTTGTCTACTGTCATATTGCCTCATTCTTGTTGGGTTCTCCCATTAACCATGAAAATCTCCCTGAGAGTTTTAACCACTTCCTGCCGGGAAGCCCGGTTTCGGGCACCGTGTGTGTATACGTGTGGCTGGAGTCTCCGAACTCGGACAAAGGGAACTTGGCCTTGTAACAAAAGACTGTTCTCGGAACAGAAGACCAGGCTGCTGGGCATTACCGACATTTTTTCACTCTCAATAGTGGAGAAAATCCAGCCTTGTTTTGAAACAGTAAACCACAGTTTGGGGCATTTAGTGTGAGCGGATTACCACCGGGGACAAAAGCGCTCCACCACCACAGCGATGAGCCACACAGTACTGCTGCAAGCTAATCTGGCCCCTATTGAAAAGAGGTCAGCAGTGCACTTTGCCAGGTTCGTGAACAAAAGAAAGTTGCATAACACCGCACAATGTGGGCTCTTTTTACAGGGCTGCAGGCCTGGCTGAAATACTCCAGCGTCGATAGATTTTGTCTGTCAGACTAAAGTGGTCACCAGACAGCAACTCATGTGGGTGTAAACGTCCATTAATTGAAATGATGAATTTTTTGAAGAATTTCAAAAACTGAAAATCTTGAAAAAGTCCCAATTAAGTGCGTTGCTTTTTTTAAACCACCCGGCACCAAGTGGTTAAGATAGGAAAAAAAAAAATCATGTTACTTATATTTAATGATATAATAATGGACAGACCTCATCTAAGATGAGGGTGGATTGACACAAGTTTTCAAAATTCAGATGATCAGACATCATGAAAATGGGAGAGCTCAAATTTACCAGGAGTACAGTAGCACATCATCATCTACATCCTCATCAGCATCATTATCATCAACACTTCCAGTCATTGGCTCTTGTAACGCCATCATGTGGTGGCATGGGGGATGGAAGCAAAGTGTTTGTGATCAGTTCGGTGAGAGAAAATCTGGAGTTTACTCTGACAGACGGCAAAGACCTCTGTCCATCCCATGCTGACCTTAAAAAAGGCTCATATTAAAGCAGAAAGAAATCCAGACCTGCACTGCTCAAAAGATGGGATGTCACGTTGTTACATTGTTGCTGAAAGGCAACACTTGCATGTGAGAATGGAAAGTGCTCCAGCATCATGTGCAAGGGAATGAACTCCCTGAAGGGATTTTATCATTTTTTAATCTGTTGTTTAAAATGATATGACTCGTCCTTCACCTTTGCTTCCAACACCTATGCATAACCCAAGTTGAAACTAATAACACATGCAAATGAAAGGTACGCATTAACAATATTCAGTGACACTATTCACTTCATTGCAGGTTATTGATAATGAATACTTCCATTTTATTCATGTTACTGCCAAGAACTTAAGTTCACAATTGCATTTCACTCTAAACAAAAAGTCTGTTGTGCTATTTATTATCACTAGGAATGTGTTAAATATGTGACACAGGGTCACCCGTTTTTTTTTTCTGTGGGCAGGTTTTACTGGCACTGAAGTTAGTCTTGCTGTTTATGTGTTGGTGATTCTGTATTGTCCATGCCAGGCTGCAGTGTCTGAATGTTTACGTGTATCACTTATTTGTTTGGGAGATCGGGTCCATTTTCATGTGGCTGTTACAGTGTGAAGAGATGTAAACTTGTTTAAAAGATTCTGATTCCTTAATCTTCCTTTATGGCTTGGAGTTGCTAATGGTTGGATGGACGGGATTGGAGATTTCTCTTAACTCATCACTGTTTTCGAGCCAAATTTCATCTTGGATCAGAGTCCTCAAAGTACCATCACATGTCAGTGATATCTCATCCATGCTTAAATCAAGACACAAGATGTCCAGATGAACATTTTGTGAAATGCATGACATGTACTTTGCTTTTTTTCATCCATTGACCCTGTCTTTTGCCCATAATCCTTACTGCGGAAAAGTTGTCCACTCGGCTGTACTATACCATGAAAAATGGGCCCTGTTGAATGGTACGGTTTTGTGGTATGCATGAATATAGAAGAAAGCGTACTTGCATTGTACAGTTTTGTAATGTTTACTACTAACTCTGCAGATGCAAAAAAAACCTAATATTACCAATTGCAAAACCACTTGTAAATAATAAATCATATTTTGCCTTCTGCTTTCCTTTTCCTTTTTATTTGCTAACAAAGTAACCCCGGCAATACTTATTACTGGTAAGCAGTTAATCCATTGGTAATTGCTCGTTATCAAGGCAGTGATGCAAGTGTCTTATCATCCATGTCTGTACTCAAACTTGAAATAATTACACTTCTTAAAAGATTTGAATTGGGACAAGAGGGCTGCTTGGGAAACAGTGCAGGCTCTTATGATGGTATCACAAAGAGTTACTTTGCTTATTGTCTCTAACTTGACTCAGGCTTTCTCGAGTGGCATATTTTGTAACTCAAACACACACTTGAGTTGCATTTAGATTGAACTTAAATTCTCAGACTCATAATCAAAGTTGTTGTTGGTCAAAAAAAGGGATTTGACTCAGGAGCATGAAATGAAAAGATCTCTGTGAGTGTGGACAAAACAGGAGCAGAAGCCCCGTGACACTGACTCTGGCATAAATTTTTGGAATCAGTGTGTAAGAAACTCAGAAAGTCCATTTCAGTCAGCCACCAATGAGTCCAAATTAACCGTTACCCAGGGTTCTGCTGCACTGAGTCCTTTTTGCCTTTGGCAGTTCAATTCAGATGCTACATGTAACTTTGCTTTGGATTCACACCTTTTGCTTGACCCATTGCTAAAAACCAAAGCTTTCCATGTAACTCATTGCCAATTTCATATGTGACATCCAGGAGTAACAATTGATACCAGCACTGGTAAGTTTTTGAGAATTGCAATGGTACAGGACATATGAAAGGTCGGAGGAAAACAAAATGGTGGATTGAAATATCAGTTCCTGATCCTCTTTCTTAGCATTGCTGTAACCATTGAACTGTCAGCAATGGTGTCAGCATTATTTCTGTCATTAAAAACGTGCACTCTTTGTTATTTTGTTAGTGTCATCAAGATGGGTTTGAATGCCTGAATGAGTTCAACTTTGACCTTTTGTTAATTGCACAAAAAAGTGAAGATCTGAAACATTGGTGTGCTTGGCTTGTTACGCCGATACCAAACTGCCATTACACAAAGCGTATAGAGGATAAAACCTATTTACCGATGTGGCCACCTGTTTTTTTTATAGCCACTGTTGTTTCAACCGCTCCTGTCATATTTGACAAGTACTATAATTCAAATTCATCAAAAGAAAAGAAAATGCTATTTGATCTGTAAAATTAAACTGAAGGTAGGGTTTGAAATCGAGCACATACATGTATGCAGAGCAGTTTGTTAACCCAAATTGATATTTATACGAAGGCTGTAAAAACGGCTTCAACTGTGGCGTGCCGTTGCACTTTACTGAATGCGGCTTTCCAATAGTGGCATTTACTGGAATGTAATCCATTGTTGAACTCCTGTTGCCATGTGCAGATGACCATGGGGAGAGGGAGGCCGCTGCGGACGACGACATCATGTCAGAGCAAGAGCCCGATTGGCCGACTGAGTTTGGAGAAACCAGCGAGCTGGCCGAGGAGGATGCGTTGATGGAGGAGCCAGAGAAGGAGGTGGTACGTTCTGCTCACAGGTTTCTGAGAGGGTCTCACAAGTTTAATTTGCAGAGATCTAGGATTTGGGAAATTGGTTAAGTCCTGTTGTATTGTCCATAATCATGTATACCTGTGCCATTAGTGGCCCAAAACGCATTTTTGCTATTAAAGTGTACTGACAGTCATTTTCTGCACTCCTGCCAGAGTGTACCTCTCTTCAGCAAGGGTGCTTTGGGCTTGTACGCATTCATTTAAATTTTGTTTTGTACTTTTCCACTGGGTTGTCCTAATTCTGCACCATTTTATCCCGCCAAGGTTAATGAAGAAGAAAAGGAGCCGTCCACAACAGGGAGTGTCAAGGATGAGGTTGCATCCCAGAGGGCGCCCTCGCAGCTGGAGGAGTTAGAGGAGCATGCAGCGGTCGTGGCAGCCATGGTCCTTGAGAGGCCCAAGTCGGGACGGGATCTGGCCGAGGACGCCGAGGTACAATATCAGATTCTTAAATACTCCATCTAGGGACAATAATGTGCTTGCTGCTCCCAATTCAAATTGATTCTAACATTTCTACGGACACACCTCCATGGCAGAGTCCTCAGTTTTTACACCGGTGAAAGTGCACCAGACGTACGTGCTTCTCTATTCACAGCAGATGCCGACCATGACTGTGGTCTTAATGCAGAAACGAAGACATAATTTCCTCGCGCAAGTTTGGAGGACACCCCTGGTTCTCAAAGTCACTCTGTGCTGGCCACACATAGTGATGGTGCCAAGTCAGTGCACACAGGTCTTGGGTTAAAAAAAAAGTTCATGCCACCTGGAACACGTTATTTCTGAACAGAAACCCACCTAAAAATTGTTCCAATGTAGGTGGGTAATTCCAGAAATTAGGGGTCCAAAAGTGTGACATTTTCGTGTCCCTGTTACATCTGACTTTTGTTATTTGACATGGAAATATCACTGGAATGATTTCAAACTATTACTATTTGTTTGGCAGGTAATTTGCATTAATTGACCACTCTTGGAAATTAGAAAATGTGTTGTGAACTCACAAAAACCATATGTCAGATGTGACAGGGACACGGAAAAATATGGAGACCTAATTTCTGGAATTACCCAGGTGCCAAATAACGTACAGTACACTAGTGTAGCAAGCAGGCAAGTGTCAGCTTCAGGGGGTACCCATTACTTGATGCATTACTGTATTCTTGTGCGGAACTGTATTGGCTGAAAAGTGGAATTGACCTTGTAAGTGCTTAGAGTTACTTCAGGATGTAAAAGAGTTTCTGTGGCAACAATGTGCTAGCTTAATACCTATCAAATCTTGATGTAATGTGTTGTCTTGAGGCAATATTCAGATTAATAATTGAATATGTCACTGTCGGACTGGATTCTGATCTGTCTGGCCACGCCATAAAAATGCATGCAATAAGTTAGTTCACATTCTGTCATTTTTGTCTGCAGGCTGCGGCCACCCTGTGGGCAAAGAAATTAGGAGAACTCTTCAATCTCTCAGGTGATCCTGAGCGTGTCCAGTCGGCCCTGGTGCGGCGGCGCCGTAACTCCCTTGATGCCTCATCTGTAGCCTCCTCGACAGAGCATGGTCAGTGGGCTGGGCCAACCCTGAAGAAGAAGCCATCCAAGAAGTCAAGGAAACTGAAGAGGATCCACTCAGCAGAGGCTGCCGTCAACTTCTTAAAGAATCTCGTGAAAGCAGGTGCAGTTCTCTTCCATTTCCTGAGAGAAAGTTGTCCAATAATTGTCTTACGTGGCTGCTAATTCAAACGTTTGGTATAATCATGAGTAGCAGACTAATTAAAGTGGTGCTTTTCCAAGCTTTGTGCTTTTTATAATGAAGAAAAGAACCTGAGGCTGCGTTCATCTTGAGTGAATAATTATTCCAGCACCATTCTGTAGATGCTAGTTGCCCTGATTTGCTTGTAATAGTCAGTAGGTCTACTGCCCTCTGTTGTCTCAACAGGTACAGACCAACACAAAATTAGACAGCTAACAGGTTTTAAAGATAGTGACAGTTGTGCTTGATTGAATGCTAAGTTAAATTCAGTGTATTAACCATTCAGAGTATCTTTTACATTAACAAGATAACATCTGATTGTTTTTATTCAGCTTTATGCATCAGATCCTATTACGTTTAATTTGATAAATTCTCCATTTGTTTTACTTTTGCAAACAATAATTTGCGATTTGGTTTGTAGCAAAATGTTTTCAGTGCTTGATGGAGATTGCCACAGTTTAAGTTGCATGGGTTTTTAAAAATGTTTCGCACCTCACCTTATTTCCGCTCATTTGCTGCTTGCATGCATCGTGAATATTCACGGTATACAGAAGAGGAGGCAGAGCCTATTCTAGATGATGACCACACCCTTGATGACATTATCATAAGTATGTATTGGGTTGCCGTGCCAAAGTTGGAATTCACCCTCTCTCTCTCTCTTGGCTCTGCTCCTGCAGGCATTTCTTGGCCCAGAATTTCTCAGTCCTGATCTTGTAACTATTATTTTTTATCTGCTTATAAGATGATATTATTTCATAGTTCTTTTCTGAATCCATAGAGCCTTCTTTTTCACAGTAGAATTGCCAAAACAAACATCAAGTCATGTTACACTGCTGTATACACGCTGGTCATAATTCCTATTCAAAAATGCACTGTACCATGGATTTTTTTTCTGCATTCTGAGAAGTTTCTTTTAACATACATGACATGTATGTAAATTTGTCGCACTGAATATTGTTCATATTGTGGTTTTTTTTTTTAATTTCTGCCCGTTGGGCCAGGACCCCTCCAGGAAATCCACTTTTGTTGGGAGGTATAAGTTTTGGATACAAAAATAAAACTTGAAATAAATTTCTAACTGTTGGCTGGCTGACCTGCCAGAGATTTTTTTCTTAATAGTTTGAAAGGTGACACAGCAATAAGATGTCAGTTTGGGCATTTTAACATTTCCAATCTTTGTAAGCTACATGGATTTGTGTTTAAATCCATCACATATCTAGAAGTAGCCCAGGATAATGAAAAGATAGAAATAGCTCCAGATGTCATTGAGATGTTGGCTGAGCCAGAGCCCATTCAAGCTGAGGATATCATGGTTGTGGAGGATGATGAAAATGGAAAGCTGCGAGTTCTATCGCGTGCTGGCTCGAGCAGGAGTGTACGGAGCAGTCGGAGTGCCCTCAGTGCTGGCAGTGTGAAAAGCAGGCTGAGCGTGCGCAGTGGAAGGAGCGCCCCCAGTGCCCGGTCTGCCCAGAGCAGGCAAAGTCACAGGGGCCTGGAGAGCCAGCAAAGTGCTCATAGTACCCAGCTGCCGAGGAGTATCCCCAGTGCTACGAGCTCTTCGGGCTCTCACAGCTGCACAATAAATGTGGAACCGCCTTAGTGATGCAATTAATGTGAGACCACCTAGAGATGGAATTAACGTGGAACTGCCTAGCGACGCAATTAATGTGGAACCGCCGAGCGATGAAGAGAAGGAGATTGAAAATGTGACACTGAGGAGAGGTGAGAATGTGACAGATGCAGCAGAAGAAACAACTGAGGACAACTGTAGTGAGAGAGAGACTGAAGATGCTCTGTCGGAGAAGGAATCCTCCAAGCATGAACCCCATCAGGAGGAGACGAAAGAAAGTACACTGGAGTCGCCGGCTGACAAGGAGGCACCTGGCGAAGATTCCTTCCAACAGGATGGATCGCCACAGCAGGAGGAAATGGAACCATCTGAGAAGAGTGCCCCAGTGCCCGAAGAGCAACCCCCGAGTGTAGTGACCCCCAGTTCGCCCCAGACAGTGCCCGATGGGGCAGGAAAAGATGCCGGCGAGCAAGGGGAAGGGAAGAGTGAGTTTACGGCAGGCAGTGTGTTGACAGCACATGATGTGGAGTCTCCCAACATGAAGTGGCACTCTTCTGCTTGAGGGCACCGATCACGTGCAGTACTTTCTCATGCACAAGTGATTGATCACAGTGTGCACAGCGTGGCTGATTCACTAGTCTTTGTCACTGATTGACGTGAGATTTTTTTTCTGCAAAAGGCACTGTGTGCGAGACTGCTGACCTTTTTCACAGTTGCACGTCCACTGAGATGCTGTAAACTATCTGTTACCTTGGTCTTCTTTTTTAAAACACTGTGCACTTTTCACCATCCTTGATATAACATATGATCTTTTTGTTCTTACGACACAATTTCCCAGTAATTATTAATATTCCTTGATATTGGTCTGACATCTCTCCTTGGATTGTGTGCTGTGCATCTGCTTTCCTGCACATATACTTTTTTACAAAGTGATTTTGTGTTAGTCCAAAGAATACGTATTTATGGAACGGAAGTCCCGCAAGTGTCATTACAAAATTTCGTAGATGCTCGAGAATTCATGGGACTGGTAAATCTTGTGGTTACATTCTCACATTTGTGTGGTTTAGGCATCAGGTTGGTAAGCCAGCAAGTCATCACTGTCAAACATATATCGGTTCAGTTGTGGAAAAACTAGTAGTTTTGAAATATCCTTTACTAACTCCTGAGCTTGTTGGAGATGCAGTTGCTCATAATTAGATGTGTGTGAGTTATTTTGAAGTACTACTGTTTGGATAAATTCACAGCGATTTGTCTTGTTTAAGAAAAGGTAAAAAGGCCTCTGTATGCATTGAAGAAGTTATTTTGTATGTGTCCACAAGTTCTTATTCAGCACGAGATTTGTGGTTTTAGGTTTTTTCTTTATGTGACATGAGGTTATTTCACAAGTCTTGGAGTGATTTGAAAATTGCTGAATGTTGACTTGTAACCAAGAAATCAACCATATGAATGCAGCCTTCAGTAACTACCTATCCACCTTCATTTTTCAGGTGGTGATGCTGGAGATGCCACCTCTGTGCACTCAGGCAAGACAGGGAAATCCCTCCATTCTGCTGGGTCGCGGGTGGAGAGTGCCCCAACTGTCAAATCTGGCAAATCGGCAGCAGCCAAAAGCACCCCCAGCGTCAAAGGTGATGCAGGGGCTCCCCTAGAGTTTGGTGTCACAAACTATGGTGTTGCCGACAAGAAGGAACAGGTATGTGGGGTGAAACTCCATCATGCTGTTTTGTGGCGAGGTTTGACTAGAAACCCCACTTAGCCTGCTATTGCATTGTTTCTGCAGCTTAGGCATATTATGTAGAGCATGTTGTCCATTATTTTTGTAGGGCATTAGACACCAGTATCATGGTCAGCATTCAGGCACCCCCCCTCCCCATTGAACAACAGAAGAAGGGCCATCTGCCTGGTTCCCCCTACCTTAATTACTGGAAGTGGAATGACAGTGGAGGGTCTGACTAAAATCAGTTTATCTGCTTGCAGTGGTATACGTGACA